AAAGATTAACAAAGAAAAATATTTAGATTTTTAATAGGTTTAAGTTAAAAATAATAAAAATTAATAGATGATGTGTATTAATAAAATGTTTTGATTTGTGTGTTTTTTGCTGAGGTGTCAACTTTAGAAAGCTTGAATAAGTTGATGTGTCATTTTCTGAAGAGACAATTGTATTATTGTTGTATTGATTATAATTAAACGTACACATCTTCTCTTTCTACCTTGGTTAAAACTGAAATTGCCTCCCCCCAAAAAAATAAAAAATCATACATTTTTCTCGCTATAATATAAAAGGTAGTAACTAATCCTGGGCATATAACCTGGACCAGCCAGACCGGATCTGACCTGATCTGACACAAAAAAAATCCAGTTCGATTCGGTTTCATTTCTTATCAATAATCCGATTGAATCTTGTTTAATTGTAGTTCGGTTCTCAGTTTGATTCGAGTAAAATTCGAAACCCGATTAGTTGTCCGAATAACCTGATCCAAACCAGAAAATATTTAATATTTTCATTTTTATAATTTGTTAAGTATCAATTTACTGTATAACTATAATGAGATATAATATTAAAAGTATGGCTATATCATTTTGGAAGTAAAGAAACTAACCAAACACTGTTTTTTAGACTAAATTGTCTTTATAATGTGTATGCATATTTTGGAAAAAGAAAGAGATTATGATATCATCTTAGTCAATATCTATGTTTTTCTTTTCTACCATCAACTATTGCATTTTATATTATTATGGATAATTGAATAGTATTTCATATATATAATTGGTATATTTTCTACATAGAATATAATGATAATTAAAAAAATAGAATAGATTCGTAATATAACTGTTATAATTTAATATTCTTATAAATAATATATTTTTTTATATATTTGAGTAAAATATTGTAATAGTAAAATATTTCAACCAATAAATTCGTCTAAAACATAATTGAAAAAAATTATTTTATACTTATACACTAATTAGCTAGGATGGTATCCACCGTAAACATTAATCCGTTATAGATATTATTCAAAATAAACTCACATATTTAAAACTAAACCCAAACCACTATATAATATATCCAAACCCTGTATATATATCCTCGTCCCATAATACGTTTTCCCTCCTAACCTGTAATCTGTTATAGACGTTCAAAATAAACTCTCATATTTTAAAACTAAACCTAAGCTACTGCATACTATACCCAAACCCTGTACATATACCCTCGTCCCATAAGATGTTATCTCTCATAAGTTGTAATCCGTTATAGACATTTAAAATTATCTCACATATTTTAAAACTAATCCCAAGATATTACATATTATACCCAAATCCTATACATATACCTTCATCTCATAAGACATACCCATCATAAGCTGTAATTCGTTAAAAACTTTGATCTGTTATAAACGCTCAAAATAAACTAACATATTTTAAATCAAAATTAAAGTAATAGATCAAATCAATTGCCTTCCTGTATTCGGTGAGCTATAGATTTTGATATAAAATTCCCTTTCTAGAGATATAAATCATTGTTTCATCAAAACTACTCCAACTAAAAGGGTGAATATCATAATAGAACATAGTATAAGAAAGAGTATAGTATATATAGATTGTTTAGTGCAACAGTTCCAGAAATTACAAAAAAAATAGAATATGAAACAAATATTGTATGACAAGAGAAGGACATGTTCCTCAAACTCAGTTACACTTCTTCAACCTCCAAGAGTCTTGCTCTCTCTAATTCGTTGTATTATGTTGAAGAACTTTCCCATCTCTTCCTCTATTTTATAAATCCAATTCAGCAGCCGTTTCTCCTCTTCCTGCCAAAGGGTCCATGTGGCTAGCAAAATTCAAGACGTTCAGAGAGACGAAGAATCAGCGGCTGTAGAAACTTCCTAGCGTGTAGAAGAGGGAGGCGGAGACAGATCCCGCTGCTGGATCTGAGCTTAAAAACATAAAATCAATAGATTAATCAAAAATCCAATCTAAATAAAAAAATAAAAAATAGTACCTTTGTAAAAACCCATATGATAAACAAACTCGCAATCAGCAAAATTTAATATTACCTAAAAATCAAAATTACAGTAGCTACATTAAAATCTGCTTTCTCTGAAAGAATAGAGAATTTTAAAAAGGCATTTTGGAAAGAGAGAGACGAAGAAAAAGAAAGAGAGAGACTTGGATTGTTGGAGATGGATGTCGGGTTCATTTTTAGAAAGACAGATGGTTGATGAAGGTGCCGTTACTGAATATAGCAGAGGGAGTAGTCCCATAATATATAGTAAATCTCCGAATTAGAGATTTCTGGAGTAATAGTACAGGTTGGCTACTCCACCAGATCGAGAACTATATGATTACAGAGGTTAAGTTACGTTTGAGGTCTGTGGTCCTAGATGATATAACAGGTGCTACAGACAGGAAGTCTTGGGATGAGAATCAGAATGGGAGATTTACAGTGAAATCAGCTTACAATATGTTAACAAAAATTCAAGCGCCAAGGCAAGATATGGAGAAGTTTTTCACTCGAATCTGGAAGGTGATAGCACCAGAGAGGGTTAAGAGTGTTCCTATGGCTAGTGGCTCACCAAGTGATCATGACAAATATAGAGCGGGAACGTCGGCACTTAAGTGACACGGGGGTATGTCAAGTGTGTAAAGGAGGAGAGAAATCAATTATTCATGTGCTCCGTGATTGCCCTGCAATGGCAGGGATTTGGCAGCTGGTAGTCCCCTTGAGAAAACAGCAACGTTTCTTTAATATGACGTTGTTGGAATGGATTTATGGGAACCTCGGCAACAAGGAAATGCTAGGGGAAAGCAGTTGGGCTACAATGTTCGCCATGTCTGTATGGTGGGCTTGGAAATGCTGTTGCGGGAACGTCTTTGGTTCAACAGGAAGATGTCGAGACAGAGTACGCTTCCTGAGGGATCTAGCAACTGAAGTCTCTTTAGCTCACGCAGGGCTAGGAGGGAATGACATGAATGCTCCGAGAGAGCAACTTGAGATAGCATGGTCTCCACCACCAAGCGAATGGATCAAACTAAACACGGATGGTGCGGTTCATGGTGATACGGGCTTTGCAACAGCTGGAGGAGCGCTACGAGATGAGAGGGGTGATTGGTGCAGGGGATTCGTACTAAATATAGGTATTTGCTCAATACCTTTAGCTGAACTGTGGGGAGTATACTATGGGCTATACACAGCTTGGGAACATCGCATAACCCGCTTGAAACTCGAGGTGGATTCGGAAATGGTTGTTGGCTTTCTGACTACAGGGATAAGTGATCAACACCCCCTGTCTTTCCTAGTACATCTGTGCTATGGCTTTCTCTCAAGGAACTGGATAGTTCGGATTAAACATGTCTATAGGGAGGCAAATTGTCTAGCAGATAGTTTGGCAAACTATGCTTTCTCTCTACCTTTAGGTTTTCTTTATTTAGGATTACCACCATATAGTGTTATTGATGTTGTTTTAGCGGATGTTGCTGGAAACACAAGAACACGTTATGTTCGAGTGTAGCTTTCTGATGTTTGAATAATATTTGTGAGACTTCTGTCTCTCGTTTCCTACCAAAAAAAGAAAGCCACAAATCTATAAAAAATAATAATTTGTTTTTGTATATAAAAGAAGGATTTTTTCGTAATCTTATAATTTATATACAATATATCGTAGCTAAGCATTTGTCATAGTTAGTTTCTTAATTTGATTTTCAATATGGTTATATAATACTATATTTTAAACTAAAAGTAAAACTAAAAGAACCTTATTTTAAAAAACATGGCATCCTTTTTCAATTTTGCTTCTTTGCAATTTTTCTCTTTCTTCTTCTCCTCCTTCTCTTCTTTTTCCCCTTCTCAGCAATTCTCTATCTCTGATTATATTTTCATTCTCCTACTTCTCCAATCTTTCTTCTCCCTCTCCTCTTTCTATGTCTCCTTTTATTTTTTCTTCCTCCTCCTTCTCTGAATTTTCAATCTATTTTCTTCTGATGCTTCTTCTCCTTCTTTTCATCTTTTTTCATTACTATTTCTTTAATTCTCATCCTCTAATTTGGATTATAGCTCAAATTTTTGGATCTGATTCGAGTGTTTCAGTTCCAAATCGAATTATTTGGGTCCAATTAGCTGAATTCGAGTTTACATCAAAACAATTCGAATTCTTCTTGGTTCCTTAAAATATTCGAGGACCTGACCCGACCCGACAAAAACCTGAACCGACCCAACCCGATGCTCAACCGGGTTCTAAGCGGATCCTAACTACTTCTACCCGAACTATTCAAAATCTGAAAAACCCAATCCAACCTGATCCGGAGATCCGAATGCTCAGAACTAGCACTAACATTCATTCATTACTATGTACAAAGATTTTAATGAAATCATATAATTCTTCATAATTAACATTTTTTAATAACAATAGATTTTGTATGAGTTTTAAAAATCATCAAATCGATAATATTTGATTTTAGTAAGAATGTCAGAATCCATTAACCAATAATAATAAATTTTGAAAATTCTAATAATCTCTTAAAATCTATCGGCTCCCAATAATTCCCCGTAACATATAAGATAAAACTTTTAAAATACTAGATATATAGTTAAGATTCTCAAAATCAATCACATTAAAATATTTTTATAAATTTTATACATACACAAACTCTTTCTAAATCTAACAATTTTTTTACAAATTTAAAAAATCAATCAAATTTTAAAATCAAGCAAATCTATATAAATGCATCTCCTAGTAAACCCCCTCAAAATTGTACGTTTATATACAAATATAACGCTTTGAAAATATATGAAAAAAGCTAATCAACACTTAAATATTACAACTAACTATATTTATGAAAAAATTATACACACATATATACTGGCCAACCACATAATTACTAGATAATTCACTAAGGAGAAATATTAATTGAAACATAGTTAGAGAATTACAAAAAATGCTATAAACAACCAAAAGTAGAATTCAAGAATGAATTATTTGTTTGCAAACCAATTGATGTTTAATAATAAAGCAACACTAAATTATTAATGAGATATAATTAATAGGTATATACACCCACTAATCAATTGGGTAAAACAAGAGATGAGTGTTTATTAGGCCTTAGAGTTAAACTAAAATCATGAATAAAAACAAGATTATGGATAACGGCATAACAATTTACAGGAAAATAGAACACAGCCTGTCTTTCCTTCAATTTTATACAAAACTATTGGAAAACTTTCTTTATATACCTTCTCTTCTTCCTCCTCCGCTCTCTCCATCTTCCAAGAAAGACTTCATTTTTCCATTATTTGCTCAGGTCAGCTAATCTCTCTCTCTCCTCTCTCTCGTTTTGTTTACTGTTGAATAACACAACACAATGCCATTGAGCTACTTCATGAATCTTCTTTACACTTGTCTTAATTAAGATTTTCTTTTGTCTGATCTAGATCTAGTTTCTCTTCAATGTTTTATGCATTCTATGTCTTGGCTCCCGTGAGCTTAAGCTTTACTGTTTTTATGTTTGTTAGTGTGTCGGTTTGTTTTGCTTTTTCCAGCAAAGTCTCTATTTCTTAGTAATGTCGAAGAAAAATTTCAAGATCTGATTTAAGTAACACTGCTTTAAGTTTAGTAGCTATAATAATCCTTGATCCTGTTCAAGAACTCAATTCGATTAAGAGGATCAAATTGTTCAAGAAACAGATCCGGATCTGAGATTATGTTCAATTAATGGGTTCTTGATAAAGATTCGATCTTTGTGTTCAATTCACATCCTGATTTGCTTTTCTTGAAACGCAGTGAGAGAGAGACAGAGTTTCAAGAGCAATGGCAAAGATGCAATTATCAATCTTTATCGCCGTGACGCTTCTCGTCTGCTCAACAAACGCCAAAACCACAAGCCCTCCGGCTCCAATGCTGCCGCCGTCACCAGCCCCGGCACCGGCTCCACACCACGTGAATCTCACTGAGCTTCTAAGCGTAGCCGGTCCGTTCCACACGTTCCTCGATTACCTTCTCTCATCAGGAGTCATTGAAACATTCCAAAACCAAGCCAACAACACAGAGGAAGGAGTGACAATCTTTGTCCCAAAAGACGATGCTTTCAAGGCCCAGAAGAACCCTCTTTTGTCAAACCTCACAAAGGATCAGCTTAAGCAGCTTCTTCTCTTCCACGCTCTTCCTCATTACTACTCTCTCTCCGAATTCAAGAACTTGAGCCAATCTGGTCCGGTTAACACCTTTGCTGGTGGACAATACACCCTGGAATTCACTGATGTTTCCGGTACGGTTCGGATTGATTCTCTATGGACCAGGACTAAAGTCAGCAGCAGCGTTTTCTCCACTGATCCTGTAGCGGTTTACCAAGTGAACCGGGTGCTTTTACCCGAAGCAATCTTTGGTACTGATGTCCCTCCAATGCCAGCTCCAGCTCCTGCTCCTGTGGTTAGCTCTCCTTCTGATTCGCCTTCTGCTGATTCAGAAGGAGCCAATGCTTCTTCACCAAAGTCCTCACACAAGAACTCCGCAAAGACACTGGCTTTGGCTCCATTTGCCATGGCGGTTTCCGGTTTGGTAGCATTGTTCTTGTGAGACAGGATGATGAATTGGGTTTTGCAGGTTGAGTGTGCTCTAAGTTACAATTTGTGAAAGAGAGATTTGTATTACATCATATTCCAAAATTTCCTTTTGAATATCTTGAACACCCATTTTTTATTTTATACATTTTATCATTATTATTGCCATTTATCAGTCTCTATTAATTGAGATTGTTCCTCCATTTGTGTGTGTGTGTGTGTTTTTTTTTTCTTTAGTTGATTTTGCTTCATTTGCAAGCTAAGATGATACCATTTCATAAGATGTTAAAAATTCCTCTCTTTTAATTTAATTTCCGAAAACTAAATTATTACGTCATATATTTTAATAATTAAGAAAATACTTACATGGATTCATTCATCATAGCTGTATGAATTTGGTCCACTCAGAGAGAAAGAAAATGGCGTCTCAGTTCTTTATACCATCAGCAAACGCCACAAGTGGCGGCGGAGACGCCGTTTATGTGGCCACTGTGCCTCTTAGAGCGGCGTCTGGTCCGCCGCAGCTTATGATGTCGATGGCTTGCTCACTTAATCTCAGAAATTTACAACATTCCATGGTTCTCATCAAACCTTCTTCTCCAACTCCAAAAGAGGTTTCTTTTCTTGATTATTCCTCTGAAAAAGCATTGATCTTTTGTTGACTACAAGAAACCTGCCGTGACTAAATCCATTTTGTGGGATTTCTTCAGATAGTCGTGTTTGATTTCCAGCCAATTAATCCAGAAAGTACAGAAGCAGCCATCTCAATTTTATCAAGAAAATCGATTCCAGGTTCTGATTCCCGACAATCATATCGAATGTAATCTATGATTCAGTCAGTTGTTTTTTTCTCTGGGTTTCAACGAATCTTTGATCATGGAGGAGTTGTAGATAGAGTAGGAATCTGCAACTAGGGCTGGATTTCAGGTTAACCGAACCAAACTAGTCGGTTTTTTTACCATTTCGGTTTCCAAAATTCCTAACCATTAACAAAAAAAGAATTACGGAGTATTTCGATTCGATTATCCGTTAATTCGGATATTTAAATTTATATATAACTTAAGTGAAATTTTTTGTTCAAATTTGGATAAATTTAGATAACTTAATTAGTTCGGTTCAGAAATTTTAAAATGTTTTAAATTAATTTTGATATACTAGATTATGTTTTTTTAGATGGTTAACCGATCATTTTGACTGAACCGAATCAAACAAACTAATAACCGAATCTTGTCGATCGGTTTAACCTAAGTAACCGAACTCAAACTCAACTGAAAATCTCGGTTTGGCTTGGTTTATTTGCTTGGTTCGATATTAATGTGATGAATGTTTATGTAGTTTTTAGTTTTAGATTTTGGTTTTTGGTTTTTGGTTTTAGATTTTTGGAGTTTTGGTTTTCAGTTTTGGGTTTTTGTTTTGGCAGTAGATTTTGGTTTTTAAAAAACTTGAATGGTAATTTGTTTTGTTTTTGATTTTTACCTACATTTTTTTAAAAATGTTGTTATGCTTATAAGTTTTAGTTTTTAACATATTTATTGTTAATAACTTCACAAAAATATAAGTAATGATAAAATTATCAATAAAATGTACAGAAGATTGTCATAAAATTAAAATAAAATAAGCTTATTATTGCACATTTTTTAGAGATGTTTATAAAAAGATGGAGATAAAATTTGTTTTGTGTGTTTTAAATGATCAAAAAAAATGTGTGAGATTTATCAATAATAATATATTATTCTGATTTTTGATTTTAGATTTTGAATTTTTGGTTTCTTGTTGTTGTAGGTTTTAGTTTTACAAAAAACTTGAATGGTGATTTTTTTTTACATATATTTTTAATATAAGATAATGACTTAATTATAAGATATGGTTTTATAGTTTGTTTTAGTTTTTGTTGCATTAAATATTTAAAGTATTACCAAATAGTACCAAAACCAATGAATGTTTCTTTCTAAATATGGCATAGAGGGTCTAAAAAGACTCTCTTAGCAAGAGAAGGTTTCCATGAAAGTAGTCTGACAACAATACCTGATCTCTTGTTGTCCACGAGATTGATTCCGTTGATACAATCTTTAGTCATATCACCAACCTGAGAGTAGTATTTCAGGTTGAGAGTGTAGCTCTTGTTGCTCGATACTGTCAGTCTCTTCAGCTGTATAAAGTATTACCAAACAGTACCAAAACCAAATAAATATAATTTATAAATACAAATACTATTTTTTATGAAAATAATAAGTAATACCAAAAAAATATCTATAAAAATATACATATATTTAAAAACGAAAAAGGTATGGTAACTTCTTACAAAAACTCAAAAATTATGGTTTTTGGTTTTTGTTTGTAAAATACTAAAAACCATGAAAAACTAAGTTTTCTATAATTTAGGGAATCTATTTACTTAAAAACTTGAATGGCTAAAGAAACAGTTTTTCAAAAACAAAAACTAAAAACTATTCTAAAAACTAAAAACTATTCTAAAAACTACAAACTATTCTAAAAACTACAATTGTGGTCAAGATTCTGAAAAGCTTTTTGGTTTGTAGGAGTAATTTTGCAAAGAAACTTGAAGAACATTCCAAGACAAAGATGTTGGATGGTTGGATCATCTAATGGGAATAATGCAATGGAAATGGCAATTGAGTTTAATAAATCATGGGAGACTGATCTTAGAGTCGGTACTCATGATTGCACCCATTATACCAATGGTACTTATTACAAATCTCCAACAAAAAGACTTTAGCTTTCTTTTTTTTGTAATATCTGTTGGGATATCAAAACAAAGCATAATAAGCCTAAGCCTTGTTTTGTTTCATGTTTCATTTACAGAACTTGTCCAACATCTTACCGGAGAAATACAGATAGTGGAGCGACTCCAAAGAAGCTACATCAGTTAATATATACATCAATAATTGATGAAAAAGATTTTCATTTCTCTACCAAAGTTTATTAGATGCTCTATTTTATAATAAGTAGGCTTGGGAGTTTGGTTTGAACCGAATAGAACCAAACCAACCAAACCAATTTTTTGATTTTCCGTTTTCATTCACTTTAGAGCTGCAAACCGAACACATTTTCAAATTTATTGTGATTTTTTGTTTGGCTCGGTTTGGTGGTCTCTAACCGACTAGTTCTTTGGTTTTTGATACTTTATTACGAACCAGAGAATCAAGAGATGATAGAGAGAAACTTTGTTATACAAATGATTTTCTGATTAATTTCAAAAGTAAACGTTACAATTGTTTATATATAGTTGACTAAGTAAACCAAATCAAACCAATCTATACATTCAATTAAATATAGTTGAACCGGCAAAAGGGAACCGATACAATTAAACCGTTCCTCTATAAAATGAGCAGAAGATGTTCTAAAGACCAATCTTGGATTTAAGATGATTTAATTGATGAGGAAATATCAGTGTGGTTAGGATGTCTGCCATTTGACCCTCTGTATTGAAATGAAGAGTTTTCAGAACACTCTTATCCAACGTCTACCGAATTGTGTGGCAGTCAACTTTAATTTGTTTTGTTTTTTCATGAATACGTGATTTGTGGCGATGTGAATAACAACTATACCATCAGAGAAAAGAATAAAGACTACAAGAGAATCCACTCACAGGTTCTTTAGCAGAGTGTAGCCACATCATTTCACAAGAAACAAGAGCCGGAGATTGAACTGTGGCAATTCACGGATAGCTTAAGACATTCACGACAACGACATCGTTGCCGAATTATGTGGAAGAGAATGTCAGGATCCAATCATTGCATCATCTATTTGGGTCGGACCATGAAGATTCTCGATGAAGTTATCTATGTTTTGTATCTTGGGCTGACCTCGTAAGGATTTCAAAAATAATTGGTAGCAATTGTAAAGATCTTTGAGGATAGAATCAATCCTTAAGAATCTGTCTAGTTAACCTATTAATTTTTAAAAATCTGTTTTCATTAGTTGCAAATTTTGTAATTAAGAACATATCTTCAATATTGACTATTAGATCAAGTTTATCCTTATCATCCATTTTGGAGATGCTTTTGTATAAATAAGGGTGGATCTCTTATTTGTAATCACCCATTCATTTCTGTGAATTAGAGAGGAATACAACTATTCTTTATCTTTTCTTATGAGTTCTCTTCATAAAGGATCATGTTTACTTTATGAGTAAGGCTGTTTAGTCTATTTGTTGGGGCAAATTTTTTTTAGAACCGCATGGTTTTGATCCTAACTATCAAATGGGACATTGCGCTTCTTCGCTAATAAGTAATTTATATTGTATTAACTAAATGCACCAGATCATCCATTTGGTTTATGTTTCCGTAAATCCAAAACTTCTGAGTATATGTTTGATGAACGTTCATTTCAAGTTATAGTTATTGTGGATACAGAAATACACACTCAGAAATGTGTTTTGTAAGAAAAGAACTTTAGGAGAATTAATGGTTAGATTCTCTCGAACAGATTGACAGTATAAGCGAGCACTAACTGAAATAAGAATTTGATATTAATCAGTCGAATTAAACGGTTACAGAGTTTCTCTAAAAGAAATGAAGTGAAAAGAGCTGGAAGATTAGTTATAGAGTTTTTGTGTATCAGAAAGTATAGAAGACGATCAAGCTGAAGGCCCTTTAAACTAAGCCGTTTGCCTCCTTTATATACTTCACCCCGTCGAGCTTCAACCTCCAGCATGTATCTCAGCAACATGCAGCAACCTCTCCTGGAAATTTCGGGATAGTTTGAACTGGAAGAAATATGCTCTGACTTAGTCTGGATCCTTCCTTGCTTTTCGGGATTTGGTCAAGCTAGAGCTCGACCTCGACCTCGACAAATGGAACGGTGATGTTCAGGCTTGGATCGTTGCAAAGGATTGAGCCTGGACTGTATGAACAAGACCTAGCCAAATTATGTTTAGTTTGGATCTGTTTATTGGGCTTGAGTGAGCCGAATTTACTGTACAAAATCCAGCTCCAACAGTTATGTATGTTGAAATTGCTAGTTAATAACCCAAAACGAAAAAACATCAAATGACAAATAAACAAAACCAGTAAGTCCTCTTGAGATTGCTAGTTAATAAACCCAAATCAATCAAGCCAAAATGTATTTAAACTTATAAATTCTTGTTGTTCTTTTGAAGTGAACTCTCTTTAGAAATGGGATCAACTCATAGAGGATGACAAAACTGAAAATTGACAAATCACAGAATTTATTTTAATCGTTCTGGACAGATCTCTTCTTAGGAATGCAAGTTTGTCTAGCTTCATCGCTACAATCTTACAACGCAGGATAACCAAGATTTTTCCATATATATTATTATCGAAGAAATAATTTAGAGAAGAGCCGTAAAATAACATGGCCAGTTAAATATTGAGACAGTCATGAACTTAGTCCACACCATAGCCTCTCCAGCATCATCCATTGTTAATTATATTCTTTGTCCCCCAAATCTCAATCCTCTTGTTCTATGCATTGTTCTAATTTATCGAAAATCTATCTCCCTTAAAACTCCGAGGACATGCTATTGTAAATAGTCTTTACACGGTAGAATGCAAAAAAAGTTTGCATATTTTGGATAAATGGAGGCTTCAGATGAGATACTCACAAGTGACAATATTATACTCACAAATGTCAATACAAATGTTTCCATTCAATAGAAACAGAGCATAACGATTTTTCTACTATAGACTTCCTCGCATTGGTTGCAAAATCGTAGGTGGTAACTCTCCCGTAGACATTGGATATATAAGAAGAATTATATTATTGACGCTAGATAGAAATAAAATGGTCAAACTGAAAAATAAAAAGGAATTATGCCCTACCATAAAGGAATTAGGTCACATACTCAAACAATGCAACACTTATAATAATGAGAAAATGACTCACAATAAGAAAATAATGTCAAATATAAACCATTTTTATGGAAAATTGTAAAAATAGTCTTTTCTAGTGGAATATTATAGAAATAAATCCTTTACAAAATATTTTATAAATAGTAATATTCTCTTTCTAATTATTTTCTCATTGCAAACTAATGTAGAGTTAATACAAATTAATGAATTCATTATACAACTAAAAATAGTGTAAATACATATTAATAACATACTAAAGACAAACTAATAGCAGATAAAGGATAGATTGAAAGCATACTAAAATCTTTTTTTTAATAATTTTCTTAATAAAGAATTCTTTTGTACTATTTAAACAAATGATGTTATAATAATTAGAAGAAAATTTAAAGAGGAAAAACTAACCGTCAAAAATCGTGCAATCCATTTTAAACCTTCAACTAATAGTTTATTAGAAAAAAACCTTCAAACAGATAAATCATTCACTACTTGTGTCCCGGACCACCAGACCAGGACTCTCTAGTTCTATGCCTTGGTTCTATTGTGCGTCAACTTTCTTTTTCTTATTTTTTGTCAACTGTATATGTCACCTTTCAAAACCTAAAATAATTCCCACTCAGTTTAGTTTTGTTTCTTGTCAATTATCCTTTAAGAAATACCCAATTAAAATAGACCCCACTATCTCTCTCAATCATGGGCTAAGTTCCTAAAGGCTAAAGCCAAGTCTCAAGTTTCTGTCTCCACTATATATTTGTTTTCCTTTGCCTAAACTTTTTTTGTGAAAATTTAAATTAAAAAACCAAAAAATGTCCATGATAAACACAAGCACTACGACTACTACTTGGCGAGATAACAAATAAACAAAAACAATTTTTTTTTCCCAGTTGGCCACTTGCACTTTTTACACAATATATACCCCTCAAGTAAGCTCTCTTCTCCTTCGTCAAAAACCTCATTGCGCTCTTTAAATACCAAAAATCAAAACTAAAGAACAAAGGCACGAGATGCTGAAGATGTTGTCCATAATTAGGAGAAACCTCCAAAATCTAGGAAAAAGCCAACGCGTGGCTGACGAGAGCTCGTTGCCTTCCACGGACGTTAACGGAGACGGGATAAGAAACGGCATGATGATGAAGTTTCCTTTATCGTTCATGTCATGCTTTGCAGTTCCACGTGGTAGCAGGACAGATGGTGTTTGGGTGTCGGGAGATTACGGAAGGGTCTCGGAGGTTAACCATCTCATGGTTTGTGATGGCATGAGATACGCTCTCTTAATGTAATTATACACTTTTGTCTCTAGACAGCTAGACTCTAGCTACTATACATCGATCTACAAATACCTTTTTTTTTGGTTCTTTCTTGTGTTGATGGGGTTTATATTAGGGAATCTAGTGATAATATTATACGATGGAATTTTTCACTTTTTTCTTCTGTGTTTATGAGGCTTGTGTTAATCTAGATGATATCTTAGGAATATTTAGCTTTCCTTTACTCATCTGCTTTAATCTTTTTAAATCTAGAGCGACAGTGGTACGAAAACTTCCCACGATCATTTTATACATAGGTACATAAACATAATTATATAACTTGGAGATTCTTGGACTTGATATGAAAAAAAAAAAAACTTATATCATAAATTGATAGATAATTTATGAACACGTTATTTATTGGCATAAAAATCATCTAATAAAAAAAAATAGTGATTAATTTTCCAAATAATTTAATGGAATATTTATCATACAAAATAAACGTTAGATTATCAATTAACGAAAAGAAAAAACGTTGACCAAGGACTTCTAGTTATAATTCTTTTTTTAAACATGCATTATACGCTTTAGTTTCAAGTAATAAAAATAAATCAACGGTACTAATACAAACTACTGCATAAGGATATATGTCCGAGTCTTATATTATATACTAATGTTGAGGTTAATGTTAAATGATTTAACGTTACAGTTAGAAGCTACTAGAAATTGATCTTGCGCGAATTTATTTGTTAATTCATATAATTATTATATTTTTTATTTTATTTTATATATTATTTTAGTTTAATTATCATAAATATGTAAATTTATTGTGAAATATTTTCTCTAATATAATTTGTGATATGTTAATTATTTTAAAATTTTTTTTCTTATAGTTATATGCTATCGTAAATATTTATGTCTTTATATTAAATATTTTTGTTTAACTAACTTATTTATGTAGTTTATTTCCAGCATGATCAGTAAAATGATTTCACAATCGATCACACACTCTCTTTTTATTTTTTTATTCGAAATAATTTTTTTATTTTGTAGAGAATTTGTAGTTGTGTGATTTGTAGAATAAGTTTTCTTTTTTTTTACTTTTAAATTAATATTATGGGAAGACTCAAATTATTGTCTCTCTTCTGTATAATA